TAGACTTATTCCGCTTGTTGGTCTGTCAGCCACCCGCTCTCCAGATATTTCAGCTCTTCAAACTCACTCCATGCTCCCCCGTCACACTCCATCTGTCTGTCATCCTCACCACATTCACCCGCTGATTCTCAATCCTCCTGCCCGCGCGTCACACAGCGTCACACACCGTGACTTGCAGAGTGTTTCCCCCAAACTGGAGAGGTTCTGCTCTGTCCGCCCAAGTGAAGACTGTTTCTCCAAGACAGGGTCCGATACATCTGGAAACAACAGAACAATGGATAGCACAATATTATGTGGTGGCTATTTTTCAGTTTAATTTTAATTTTAGAATGTATTTTTAGAATAAGAATACTACTGGGTTTTAAAAAAGTATAAGCATCACTCTGATTGTAGTATAAAAGAAAAAAAATAAAATGAAAAAAAGTATAAGCAGTTTCAACAGTATAGGTACCTTTAAATGAAATGGTATTTTTTTCTAACAGAGAAGGAATACAGAAAATTGCTTTAATGATCATTTCTTGCTGGAGCAACAAAAGCAAGTCTAAGCGCCGAACAAGCCCTAGTTTCTGGGTTTCTTTCCTCTTTTTTTTTTTATTGCAAGGCAGGCTCGCCCCCCCACACACACACCTCACCAGCAACCCAGCCCCAGACGGCCCCAGTGCCGATGCCCTAGTTTCTGTTTTATTCCTGTCTCTAGAAAGGTATGGAGATTATAAAGTTTACAATGTCCACTTCCATCTTTTGCTTTTAGTTGCTTTATTTATTTATTTATTTTTTTAAATATGGAACGCTTCACGAATTTGCGTGTCATCCTTGCGCAGGGGCCATGCTAATCTTCTCTGTATCGTTCCAATTTTAGTATATGTGCTGCCGAAGCGAGCACTAGTTGCTTTATTTTAACTTAAACTAAATTCTGCATAATAAAAAAAACAATTGTAGCAAATCTTTATACATGCCTATGTGGAACAATAATAACAGATTGATGTTTCATTAGAGAACTTCAGGACATTTCATTGTTTTCTTATCTTTTTTATTCAAAAGCTCTAAAAACCTACTATCCCTTGAATGACAAATTATAGAATTAAAAAAGACCAATAACTTTATTGCATAGGTGAAAAGATTGAGGTCAAAGGAGTTTAATTATTTCAGCAAAGTTTCACAGTGAATGGATGGTATAACAGGACCAAAACCCACCACCGGCCTGAGGCGTTAAGTAGAATAAAGAATAATTTATTTATTTTTTATTTTTAAAAATTAATTATTTTGGGACAGGTTCTCTGTCTGTCATTCAGGTTGGAGTGCAGTGGCATGATCATATATCACTGCAGCCTAGAACTCCTGGGCTCAAGCAATCCTCCTGCCTCAGCCTCCTGAGTAGCTGGGACTATAGGCACACCACTACCACGACTAGCTACATTTTTTTTGTACTAGAGTATTCACTGACATAGTATTTGTTCCCAACAATGGGAATTGGTGAAATAAATTAAAGCATGTCCATTTGAATGAAAGAAACCCATACACATTAAAAATCCCATTTTGAGGCTGGGCGCGGTGGCTCATGCCTGTAATCCTAGCACTCCGGGAGGCTGAGGCAGGAGGATTGCTTGAGCCCAGGAGTTTGAGATTGCTGTGAGCTAGGCTGACACCACGGCACTTACTCTAGCTTGGGCAACAAAGTGAGAGACTCTGTCTCAAAAAAAAAAGAAAAAAATCCCATTTTGAAAAATATTTAACGGCATGGAAAAATGTTCATGATATACTAGTAAGTGAAAAAAGAAGGATGTAAGATATATATAAAATATGATCCTCACTTTATAAAAATATGTGTTTTATTTATTTATATATTTATACACACCCTAATATCTCTTAAGATTATAAAGAAATCTATTAAAATTTTAATTGTGTATTAAGAAATATTATCCAAATCTTGGGAAAAAGACAAAACAATGACTGCATGTCTTTTCAATGTCTTGTTGGAACACAGTCTAGCAAACCTACTCATTGGTTACCTTATTGTCTAGGGGAATGTTCCTTTGTTTTACTTATTATTTACTATTGATTAGGGCCTAGACTCTATGAAGTTACATAATAACACATAGCTTTTTTCTCCAGTTGAGAATAAAATTATTTCTACCCTGTAGAAAAAACAACCTCAAATGTTACAGCTATTCCCCATAAGCTATTAACCAGTTTTTTACCCAAACATGTGACCTTCTTCATCATTCTTTGAGTGTCTATATATTCAGTCTCTCAAATGCACTCTCATTCAGTTTTGTCATTCTGATGGTTTCCTCCCTAATGAGTTAAGTAAATCTTTGACATATGCTTACTTAAGATTGGTATGAGAAGCAAGTTTTTAATACAGTATTTTAAAAATACTTTGACAATGGCCATATATGAGTAGTAGATTTATTCAAGATTTTTATTTTCTTTTTAACATTCTTCTGTATTTGTCAAAAGTCCATTAAAGGACATGTTTTATACTAAGAAAGAGCAAAAAAGCACACAAGTATGCATGTGTGTGTATACATGAATTCTACACTGATTTGTTAGGTATTTCTTCCCTAACTCCTTACCCAGGTAAAGGGCCTACCTTCCTGAGGACGTCTAAAGACAGCTTGGCTTTGTATGTGGGAGGGCACACCCTGACCCCAGAGGACATCTAGGAAAGGTGTTGTGATGCTCCCTGAACCCCGGTCTGCCTTGCCGGGTGAGGGCAGAGGCGTCCATCTTCATAGTCAGCCGAGCTGGGCACGAGGCTGACTTCTT